GTATGTGGCTTCTGAAGACTCGATTGGGGGCCAATTTGAGGATTAATGTTGTGGGGATGAGGAATTGAGGAAGACAGATCTCAAACTTGAAGCTGCGCGATTGGCGGAATTTACAGATTTAATTACGGCCGATTGGGGGCATTATTGGTTGATGTATGACCATGGTTGTGATCGTCTGAATGAGGGCTAATGACTGGATGTGATGCACGACCATGGATGTCGTCGGAATGGTAATTTTCGGCAGGAGAAGAGTTCGGCATACTGGTTTTTTTTTACCCATTTTGCTGCTGATTCCAGTGGGTTTGAAGGTGACGGTTGGGTGTTTGTTGTAGAGGGCAATGATGTGAGTTTATTGTTGGTAGATTCCGGTGGCCATGATGGTCGAAAGGTGGTTGATTTTGGCTCCATAGGTGGCGGCCGAACCATGGCTGGATTGGATTTTAGATTAAGTTTGATGGTGGATTTTAGATTAATTTTGAAGTTGAGGTCCTCCAGATTTTAAGTGATCCTGTTTTGGTGCTTTAGGTTTCAATTAAAACATAANAAGTGACAGTGTTTTGGTGCTTTAGGTTTCAATTAAAACATAAAAGTCCTAAAACTAATTTCAGTGACCATTCCTGAAACTGGGTGAAAGTTGAATGACCGTTTCCGCAATTTTTAAACTTCAGTGACCGTTTTGAAATTTTCATGTAACTTCAGTGACCATTTGTGAAATTAACCCTATTTTGTTTATTTTTCCTCCTCGGACTTGACTGGGCCTTTCGTAATATTTCTAAAAACTAAGCCAAATTATACAAAACACACGCTTCTAGTCTAAACTATCCGTTGAGTGCCCACTCTTCAGTCCAGTCTCTACTGCTAAAAGCCTAGAACCTCAGAAGGCCACGTTTTTCCAAATTTCACCAATTTTACCGTTATTTTCAAATGCTGTAGTCTCTTTTTCACACACACTAATGGCGCTCCATATACCCGCCGGAATAATGGCGGTTTCCGGCAAGTTTTCTGGCGAGAATCAGGCCTCCGGAAACTCGTCTTCCACCTTTTTCACCTCCCAAACCCCAATTCTTGGACAGAAACTCTACATCGTCATAATCGCGACTGTCGTCATTATGATTTTCATTTTCTTCTTCATTTTCCTCTTCCTCTGTCGGGATCGGAACTCTAAACGACGCCGCGTTGGTGAGAAACACGGTTCAGGTTTACTGCCTCCGTTATGTAATGAGATCACGGAAATCAAAACCTCGGATCACGCTGAAATAAATATAGTCGGCGTAAAAAACAAAGAGTTTATTATACCAAACGTGGTAAAAGATGTTGTAATCGAGTCTAAGGGCAAAAAGGGAAGTTCCGAGAGCAATGGGTCGAATACTACCCGGAGCGAATCGTCCTCT